CAACTTGACCCCAGCCTGTGTCTTCTCTCACTGCTTTACTGGAAAAAGTCTGGTCCTTCCTTTCTTCTTTCCTTCCACCATGAGTCATGTGGGGAGAGGAAAACAAAAGTTAGCATATATTGGAGCAATTCACCTTTAGTAACAACTAGGATATTATAATTACTATTTACCACAAGTTAAATGTTGATTCTGGTAAACTAAGGTTCTACAAAAAATGTAAAACAACATATTCTATGGAAAAAATACCTCGACTTATCTGATTTTCATATTCGCTCTGCGATAAGTAAATTATGAATTAGTGCACACGCTCTCGAAATTGAGAGAGGGCGGTATAAGAAGCTCCAAATGTATGAACAAATTTGCAAACATTGTACGTTGAACACGGTGGAAGACAAAACGCATTTTATCTCAAATTGTACCCTCTATAGCAAGGAACGAAATGAACTCTTTGACGTAGCCTCCAAATTCTACCCACACACACTTTCACACATACAGAAATTAAAGTGGGATCCTTTGTCTTCCTCTGTCTTCAAAAAAGAAGTCAAACCCAGTAGTTTTTACTAGTAGTTTCTTTGTAGTTATCAGTTGTTCTATGTGTACTAATCTGTTTTTATAACAGATGTTTCTTCTGTTCCTGCAATTAGCCCTCGGGCACAAATTTGCAATAAAACATTCTTTATAATTATACTGCCTACAACACAACTGGTTTTTTTTCACTGAGGAACATTATATAAACATTGTAAAAAGCCAGAATTTCTACTGATCAAAAACTTTTTATCTTGAAAGAAACAAGTCTAAGGTAAACTGCTCTGTAAGTTGAAAAGCATTGTCTCACCTGTAAACTTTCTTCATTCCACCAGTCTTCAAGTCAACCAGTCTTCTCAGCCCTCATCTGGTCTGGTTTTGACAGGAGTCGCTGGTCATCACAGGTTTCTCCCAGTCAGGACAGGAACATCAGGACAGCTGACACTCAGGACACACCTACCGATATGAACAGATGGTATTGTGATGCAACACTGAATGACTATTAAAGATAGACTAAGAGTGATAAAATTGCACAATTGGGCAATCCCTTTTGTTGAATAGATGTACAAAATCCTTGGCTCTACAAAGTTGTTATCTATTGCGACATGCCTCAGAATTGTGAGATGCCTTTAAGTTAGAAAAATATAACTTGTAAATTGAGAAACATTGTCTCACCTGTACAAACTCACTGTGTCTTCAGGTCATCTGATTTGCTGGTCTGGACTGGAGAGAAGTTGCCGGTCACCAGGTTTCTCAGAACACAAACATCTGGTGTTGTCGGGTTTAGAATCATCACAGGAGTCAACTGCATCAGTCAGCAGCCACCTAGCTACGTAGACATGAAAAAGTTACATGGTTGTCTCCATTAACACTAAGAAAACTACTACTGGTACAATTGACAATTTAGATTTCAAGTTCTCACCTGATATTCCTCTTGTGTCTTCAAATCATCTGGTCTGGTCCAATCATCTCTTGTCAGGTTCAGACAGGAGTCCCCACTACTGCATCAGTCAGCAGCCACCTAACTATACAGACATTAGAAGTCACACACTTGTCTCAAATAACACCAAATAGTTGGTAAAATGCGGAATTCAGATTTTTCTCACCTGCCCCAATACTCCTATGTGTATCTGAACACCTGCACAGGTTGCTGACCCTCAGAGCACAGCTCACTACAGGATTCTATGAAAAGAAGAAATACTAGTGTATTGTCAGCTAAGGCTAGAAAGTGTCAAATAAAAACACTTCTAATTTCAACAGCTTGAAAAATCAACACTAGGTCATCTAGACAGAGAAAATGACAATGAACACAACTTTATAAGCAAGGTATTTATACAAAACACATGGGCCTATCCCTATACTGTTTATGAGAATCATTTATAATACAAGAGAAATTTTGAGGTAAAAAAGTTCTTGTGGATATATATGAAATCTGGAACTACATTTTGGGGGTAGGAGGGGTATTTTCAAAGGAAAATGACACAGTAAGGAAACAAGAACCATAACTATTGGCGTAATGACAGATCAGATAGAGCATTCGGCTCAGAACCAAGAGGTCCGGGGTTCGAATCCTACCAAATCACCAACTTTGGGAAAGGCACTTAACTTTTCTCACTTCACTCAGGTGAAAATGAGTATGATCAGATGATCATGATCGTGGGCATTTAAAAAAAAAACTCAATTACAAGTAATACTATGCATTTGAGAGACAACATACAGCTATATCTACTCATTTTGTTCTAAGTTCTACTGCTACATTTTACGTATTTTCACCATTTATATTATGCTTAATCTCAACGCTAGCATACACACACACACAGTCACGCACACCTTAAATTTCTTCATTTCAAAACAAAGACCTCGATGAAAACTGTACCAAATGACCATAAAGACAATCATAGCAATAATAAATCAAATCCAACCCCTTGAACTGAAACTTTTATGTACAATACACAGGGCTCGAAATTCATTTTTGGGAATAGGTGCACTGGTGCACCCAACCTAAAAAACTGGGTGTGCACAAAAAATGTTTGGGTGCACCATATAAAATAAGTAGAATGTCAGCAAAAACTAATTTTGTTTTATTTCTTAAGAACAACAGTACAAGAATGATTTTATGATTTGATGTTAAGAATATGCTGCGTACTACTATACTTTTAACATCTTGACATGTGTAAACCTACAAAGATTTTCTGACACTTAGACGCCAAGAATATCAAGTATTACTGTATACATTTAACATGTACAAAAATACCTACATTAACAAAAATATTTGGGTGCACCACAGAAAAAAAATTGGGCGCACAGCTCCTATTTCGGGTGCACTAAGGTGCACATGCACCCAGTATTTCGCGCCCTGAATACATATAATAAACATCAATTGCAACCTTCCAGCGTAGACAACTGTAGTGTTTTGCGCCACAAATACTCGGGCCTTGGTCATTACAATTACTGAATAATTTAGTCTAAAATTGAAACAAACAAGCTTTCAAATTATACATAATGCATCGCAAATAATAATGAAGAACGAAAGTATGGTCAACTAGACTGTTTTATATAGTATTCATTTCGGCGCCTTGAAGCTTTGAAACACTATTTTGTTTGCGCGATTTTTTGGCGGGAACACGGGCACATTCCAACAGGTGGTTGGAACGTGGTCCACCACGTGGAGATAAAGAAAAAGGTTTGGTCGATACACAATTTTTTTCAACAAATATAACCTCAAAACGCTGACCAATTGACAAAAAAGACATGCACATACATTTAATACTCTACAAGCGCACCGCACATTGAAAATGCTGTTGAAAACGCGGCAACTTGACAGACTTTTTTGAAGTTTTTCAAAGCCTGCCTAAAATTAGCAACGGCCGCTCTCTAATACAGAACTAGACCATTTATTACGGACTACAACCAACTTGACATATTCGTATTTTAGTTGCTAAGGAATGTCAGCCAAACAATTTGCTGGTTTACCTGCAACAATACTTGTAAGCGAAGTTCGTCTCCATGCCACGCTTCTCCTCCCAACTGTTTCGCCATTTTGTTTTCTGTCTTCTCCAAAATTCGCCAGGTCAGGAAATCCGCATTTTCTCTTCAAAACATCACCAGAACGGCAAAAAAACACGGCTGAAACTTCTCAACATTCTTCTGAACACTTAGCAAAAACATTCTACCGACGAAAACTCTAAAATTAGTAAAAACTACCAAAAAATTTGGAAAGAAAATCAGCCAAGAATATTCCCGTCTTGCGAAGCCGCCATTTTGAAAGGACCATGCCACTTTTTACACAGGTGTGCAAAACGGCTGGGTTGAATTATTGTGAAGTTGGTAATCTTATTATGACGACCAATGACGGCCTGTCTCGGTGATAGGCACTTATAACTATGTGGCAAAAAAGGTGGAAATAATAAATAATCTATATAATTACGAAGACTAATAATCTCATATCAGGGCAAAAAAAATTAATGAAAATGCATCTACCGCCGGTTACTTGAGTGGTATCGGCGAATACTTGGAATGCAACAACCACAGTAAGAGGCATAACATTCTTGTCCATTTTTCCTATACTGTAAAGTCGTTAAAGTGTTTTTTATATTCATAATTACATTATACAATGTATCCAGAGCGTTACAAAGAGTTCTTGGCCCATCTACCCTGCATATTCGGTCAAGACGCGGTCGGTTGAGGTGTTTAGGCATACCCATAGTGGGCATACCGGATCCTGTCCTTGGTGCTGAACATGCCTTCCACACACAGGAAAACCTGTCCTTGGTGCTGAACGTGCCTTCCACACACGGGAAAACCTGTCCTTGGTGCTGAACATGCCTTCCGAGCATAGGAAAACCTGTCCTTGGTGCTGAACATGCCTTTCACACACGGGAAAACCTGTCCTTGGTGCTGAACATGCCTTCCGAGCATAGGAAAACCTGTCCTTGGTGCTGAACATGCCTTCCACACACGGGTAAACCAATTTATAG